TCTGGGCAGGGCGTGTCCTGGGCGGAGCAAAGCCTGGACCAGGGCGCTAGAGCGGGACCGGGGCAGGGACCCGGGCCGGGGCGGAGAAGGTGCATGGGCGGGGCTGCAGACCTGGTGTGCAGTGCGGGGCTGGGCAGCTCAGTCCCGAGCTGGGCGGGTGTGTGTGTGTATGTGTGTGTGTGTGTGTGTGGGGGGGGTTGTCACAGCACAAGTGCTCTTCTGTGTGGCGCTGCCCTTGCAGCTTGGGACTCACTGTCTTGCAGCCCGCTGCGTGCCTTCCGGTAGAGGGAGTCCTCTTTCGTAACCTGCTCTGGCATGTCAGAGAGGGCCTTGTGCTATGTTCCTCACCTCTTCAGATATTCTGGAAACGCATCCCAGTGTCCACCTGACCCGGATGAATAAATTTACTGAAGAATCTGGTGAAAAGGTTAAGTCAAACGGCCTAGACCTGAAGTGAGGGAGTGACTTCCCTGTTCCTGTTAGGTGGTCTCGCCAGGATCCTCCACTGCTGTTGCCATGGAGCTGGGAGTGGGGTGGGAGGGCGGCAGGACGCCCCAGTCACAGCGCGGTTCTGATATGGAGTATTTTATTTTAAAAATACTGATTGCCTCCAAAAATGGAGGTGGTCCAGGATTCGCAGACGTCTTGGAGGCTCTGGACTGCCAGATGCTTAGATTTAGCTTGAGTTCCAGCTCTGCAACCATGGTGGGAGACCAGACCAGTCTTTTAATCTTCCTTGGCTCTAGAGGTGAAATTACTGCTTTTTCCTGCAAAGCTAAGGTACATGTCTACAAACAGGAGCCTTTTCATTCCATTTTTTGTCTCCATCTCCCACCTTTCTTCTTTATTTCTTCTGTGAGCCAGCATGAGACAGGGCGAGAGAAAGGGGAAGGGACAAGCGCCCTCAAAGCGTCTTGATGCCACAATCCCACCTCCACCCCCAGCTTCTGCTGGCCCTGGATCATGGGTACACAGGCCTTGGGTACTCAGGGAGGTCTCTGGAAGCAAACTTGGAACCTTCCTATGTGGACCAACCTTGCTTGTGATTTACAGATGGGCGACCCTCTGGTCTCTTCTTTTTTGTGCACATAAATCTCATTAAAACCTCTTCATTTTGATAAACTAATCAACCCTTTGAAATTTGGCAACCTCAATTTGTAACAATTTGCTCATAGCAAAGTCCTTTTCTTATTATCAACAACAAAGTGCTGTCAGTCTAAATGTAAAATAGTCATGCAAGACCAGTGCAAAGCAGGAATAAATATACTTTACCATTCTTTCTTTTTCAGGTTTTTGCCATATGGTGCATGCGCTCCCCGGAGAGAAACAGTGAGATGGAAAGTGAGAAATTGCCTCTTAGGGTGGATGGATTTGCTGCAATGCCTTCTCTGTTCTCCTGGGATTTGGGGCATGCACGCACTTGTGCCCGGCATGAGTTTCAAGTTGCCAGATCCGGGACTCAAACTGTGGTCAGCCATGTGGGAATTAAGCACCTTCACCACTATACCACCTGCTGGCCCCAGCATTCTTTCAAGTGATTCGATAGTTCAAGTTATTACAAAATTCACTTGATTTCTTACTTTCAAATTTTTAGGTTGTTCTCTGCACTCCCCATTGGTATACAATTAGGTGATAATTTGAAAATTATTCTAGTCATGCTATAATAAAATAGAAAATTATCTTTGTTTCATGCAGAACTTTTCTTTTTCCTTTTTGTTACAGGGTATTGGAGAGACAGAGGCAGAAAATGAGAAAATGAGTCACCCCTTAGGGGACATGGCCATGCTGTAATTCCTTCTCCTCTCGGGATCTTGGGCATGCATGCACATGTGCCTGGTGAGTTTTAAGTTACTGGGTCTGGGACTCAAACAGTGGTCAACTACGTAGGAGTCCAGTGATATAACCATTATGCCATCTTCTCGTCCCTCCATGCAGTTTTTCTTTAAAATATGCACTTTTAATAAACTTTTTGAAATTGTATTGGCAAGTTAGGAGATTGTTAATTCTGTTATATCAACTAACATATTTGTTACTCTGTTCCTTTTTTTTTTTTTTTGCCATAAGGTTTGTGTACTCAAGACAGAGACAGAGAGAAGTGAGAAATCATCCCCTGGGGGCATGGCCACACCTCAACACACCTGCTCCTCCATTGTCCTCTCAAGATTTTGGGCATACATACACACATACCAGATGTGATTTTGAAGCCACCAGGCCCTTTTCTTATCATCAACAACAAAGTCAGAGATGGAACCTCAGTCAGCCATGTGGGAATCCAGCACCTTAACCACCCTGCTACCTGCTGGCCTTCTTTTACGATCAGCTTTGATATAACCAGAGAATTTATGTGATGGCTTGACTAACATGCAGTGAGGACAGCTGATGGAGTCAGATCTGGGTTCTGATCCACCTCTACTGCTTATGGTTGGGCAGGTGAGCAAGTCTCTGTATCTTTCCAAGTCTCAGCTACATCACTCATAAAATAAAGGGGTTCAAGGGAGAGTTCTGAAGTCAGTGGCAAATATTAGAATCTCAGTGTTTTCTTCCTCTATTCTTCCCACTCTCATCACAATCAAATAGCCCACTGGATGCTTTGGACTACTGGGGAGAGACTGGAGTGGTCAGTGTGCCATGGAAGGGGCTAATGGAAGTCTGCTGCAGCTGATTCCATGTGGGAAGAGTAACCACTGACTCTGGACCTGGTGGGGAGGCGGGGAAAGGGTCATTATGGGAAAGGAAGTGGACATTCTTCCCCATAATTATACAGCCTCAAGGATCCTGGGAGCAGATACAACTCAGCACAACTCGGTGCTTTTGCTAAAGAGAAACATTTTTCAGCTAGCTTAAGCCCCAGATTTACTGCATTTCCCCTAGTAATTAGTACATAAAAGCTAAAGTAGGAAATGCGAAAAAGTAAACTACTAAAATGGCCTAACTTACCTAGTGATGACTACTATTAACATTAGAATATTTTTTCTTTAAATTTTTTTTCATTTAACTTTATTCATTTATTTCAATTTGACGAGAGAGAGACAGACAGAAAGTAAGCTGCCAGGTCTGGGACTCGAACCACAGATGGCCATGTGAGAATCCAGCACCCTTAACAGCATGCCACCTGCCAGCCCTAGAATATTTTCTTCTGTTATATGAAATTACTTCCCAAACTGTGGTATGTACCATGTTATATCCTGTTTTTTTAATGTGGCGTTTTTCTCCACTGCCATTTTCCCCCAATTTTAATGGCTGCAAATTGTTCTGGTAAAGGATACAGCATAATTTAATCATCTTTAGAGCCTTTCTATCTTCTCTTTTTAAGGTTTTTGCCATAAGGTGCATGCACTTGCCAGAGAGAGTTAGAGTGAAATGGGGAGAGGGAAAGTGAGAAATCACCCCCAGGTGTGTGTGGGGTAATGGCCACACTGCAGCTTCTCCTCTCTCTGGATTTTGGGAATGCATGTGTATGTGCTTGGCCTGAATTTCAAGCCGCTTACTCTGGGACTTGAACTGCGGTCCATGATTTGTGAATCCAGTGCCCTACACACCACTTACTGGCCTGTTACAATCTTTTTTTTTTTAATTGCCAGAGAGCACATATGCTCACTAGAGAGACAGAGGAGAGGGAAAAAACACTCCTGAATAGGGTAAGTTTATACAATTGCTTCTCCATTTTTCCACCTTACTGGGGTTTTAGGCACCCACATGCACCTGTCTGGCATGTTTTTCAAGTCATCGGTGCTAGGATTTGAACCATGGTTGGCCATGTGGTATCCAGTTCCCTTAACCACTAGACTATAGGACTGGCCAAGAAGTTTATAGATCTTTGTGAAGTATCTATTACCAATGCTTCCAGGAAGGTTTCACCAATACACCCTCCAGTAGTATGTGAGATGCCTCCTCACTGAATCCTTGCTAGTATTGTATTTAGGTAAGACATCACAAATTAGGTAAAATGGGTTCATTTCTTAAAAATTTCCCTTAAGAGATTTTTGCTATAGGGCACGTGTGCTGGCCAGAGATAGAAAGTGAGAAATCACCTCCCAGGAGGGATGACCACACCATAAACCCTTCTCCATTCTCCTCTCAGGATCTTGAGGATGCACTCACATGCACCCAGTGTGAGTTTTGTCAATGGGTCTGGGACTTGAACTGTGGTCGACTATGTGGGAGTACAATGATGTTAACCATTATGCCATCTGCTGGTCCCCATACTTTTTTAATCTCTAGATTAAAAAAGGAAATTTTGTGCCCACCTGAAAGATAAAGCAATCCCTCACCCACCATGGGGCATGGTCTTGTCACAACCCTTTTCCCTCTGCTCTCCATCCAGTCAGGATTTGGGGTATATGTGCACACGGCTGGTGTTTAAACTGCTGGGCAAGGCTCAAACCACGGTCAACCACTGAGATGTGGCTCCCTGAGCACAGGGCCTAACCACTGTGCAGGGAGGCTAGGCAAACTGTCCTTTCTTGAATCACTGGTAGAGCATCTTTGAAATGGTCACCGGATGTTTGTCTTTGAGTTGACCAGATTATTTGTACCCTGCTTTCTTTTTTCTTTCTTACTGATATACATGGGTTATTTATTTTGAAGCTTCCTCCCCCTTTTTCCTTTCGATGTGAAGTCAGGGTTTAATTTGTCTGGTTGAAGTCTTACAGCAATCTGGGTAAAACAGAGGTTGCGTACCCAGGCTCTCGCATATACCTATGTAGTTGTGCGAGCGTCCTTTCCTCTTGTTCCTCTTGCGTAGTAATAAAAAAGAGCAATTCCAGAATCAAAATGTAACACTGCAGAATTCAATAATGGAAGCAGCAGCTCTTAGAATCAGCCATTTATCTGCAAACGAACCATTTCAATGTTCAAACATACATTTTTCTTCATACTTAACTCAAAATGAGTCAACAGAATTTTATTCAAACTTTACAAATATCATTTACATTTAGCCTGAGAGTAAGCATGAGAAGTTCCCCCTGAAGTTAGACTTCGTTGCCCCAACAGGTAAGCATCTGAAAAGAAAGCTGAGAGTGAGCCTGCACTATCAGACAGAAGCAAAGCATGCCAGAGAAGTCCGAAAACGGGTTGTGATGCAGACTCGACTTTAATTTGCTCTTGCCACGTGACCTTTAGAGGCTGAAAGTACTTATCTTTAAATGATGATAAACAAAACTTGCCAATGAGAAACGGATGCAGGTGTGTGGAGATGTGGGATTTAGTGTGATGCTTCTACAGCAGTCGCTTTAGATGACTATTCAGAAAAACAACTCCCCAATCGTTACTGTTCAACATGTACTTGAACACATGCAGCAGCATGGTACAGTTTATCAGTATAAATATCAGTACCTGTAATAAAATAGAAAATACGGAGTATCCCTTTTTCAAATATGAAGTCTCTGAATGCTCCATTCATCCTTTGGCTTCAAACCCGGACAACACACTCATATCGCACGGCAGACGGAGCGCCGAGACGGAACACTGTACATCTGTTGGGGGGGGAAGGTGTACCGTGGGAATCCCAAAGCACTACAGTATAGAAAGTAAATGTTGAAGCAAAAATACTTTCTGAATATATATTGTACATTATGTAAACAAACATTCAGAATAAGAATCCAACACAGGCTAAATATTGTTTCCTAGGAAACCAGAATCTTCTTTTAAATCACACACACCGAAGATGCTTTCTCACTAAGAAAAAGAATGGAGCCTGTTCCTGTATTTGCTTCTGTGCTTAGATATCTTGGAAACGAGGAAATACATTCATTTGCTAACGGTTTTTGTCTTCTGCTTGGTTTGGCTGGCTGTTGCAAACGAGGAATACAGAACTATTTCATCCCTGTTCTTCACTTAATCTTAGCGAAGTAATATAGATTTAATTCATCTTTATCAGCCCATATTAGCAATATAGACAGGTTAAGTAAAGCAGCGAATTTCAAAATTTGTGCAGGGAAAACTAGTTGAAATTTGTTTCCAATAAGGCTAGTAGTTGGTAGTTAATTTCTACAAAGTCAGTCCAAGCTAGTAGTAAACCCCTGATTTAGCCAGCTGGAGCAGCAGGCTGAACCAGAGGCTGAAGTTAGGTAATTCTAATTCCTAGAGTACTGTGCAAATCTAGAGCTTCTTATGTAAAAGAGAGTGCTGGCAGCATTAAAGCCCTGTAGTAAGAGAATGAAATACTGAGTAGGTTTGAAATGCAAGAGTAGGAGATGCAGAAATTTGAATGTCTTAATGATGGTGTCGTAGCAATGGCCTCAGAATTCCCTTAACGAATCAGAAACCAGGACAATCCATTAATCAATGATTTCCGAGTCAAAAGTCTAAACTAGAAGTAAGTGATAAAGACACAAAACCAAAGATGCATTTTCCACTAAAACCATATGCAAGAATTTTAAGCTTTCTGTCAACATTCTGTACCAGCGCCTGCCCCCCTATGAAAGGAAGAAGCTTGGTCATGACTGTCCATCCCGTCTCAAGGCTTCCAGTCTTTGAAGGAGGGCGTTTCCAAATGCTTCCCGGTAGGCGGGGCTGAGAGAATCCAACAGGGAGTAGACCGTCTCATGGTAGGGCGTCTGTAAATGATCATCCACCTGGTCAAAAGCATAACCTACCACCTACGAGAGAAATGAAACAGGAGCACAGTTATTTTTTTACCATGCTATCCAAAAGCTAAGGATTTCCAAGGGCCATTCTCTAATGATATTATTTCCCAGGCCAGCAGATGGTGTAGTAGTTACATTGCTGGACTCCCACATAGCCGACCTTGGTTCAAATCCCAGTTCAGTGGCTTGAAAATCATGCTGGGCACATGTGCACATGCGCCCAAGATCCTGAGAGGAGAATGGAGGAGAAGGGACTGCGGTGTAGCCCTACCATCTGGGGAGTGATTTCTCATATTCCCTCTGTCTCTGTCTCTCTCTCTGGAGAGCACACGTGTCCTAAGGCAAAAACATCTTAAAAACGAAGAATATGCACATTTAAAATAAAGCCTTTAATGCCAAACTGTTTATAATATATAATGTGTAAAATACAGAAACACTACCAGAAAAATGGTTCCTATAAAATTCTTTTAAGATCAGGCCCCAGAGTGTAGTGGTTAAGCTCTGTGAAGGTGGATTCCCACACTGTCCACCAACCGTGGCTCATGTTCTGGCCCCAGTGACAATGCGGGAGTGTGAATGTGCTCAGGAATCTGATGGGATGGAGAAATGAATGAGAAACGATTATAGCATGATCAGGCCCTGCTGGGTGGTTCTCTTGTTCTCCCCACCCTTCTAGCAAGCACGTACACCCTCTGACATTAAATCAAAACGCAACTGTTTTCAAAATTAAAATTACTTAAATTTAAAAGGTTTGAGGGACCACCAGTTACCGTAATGGCTATATTGCTGAAATCCCATGTAGTCAACGGCGGTTCAAGTCTTGGACCCTGTGGCTTAAATTCACATTGGGTGCGTGTGCGTGTGTGCCCAAAATCCCGAGAGGAGAATGGAGGGGAAGGGACTGTGGCGTGGCCATCCCTCCGGGTGTGTGTGTGTGTGTGTGTGTGATTTCTTGCTTTCTGTCTCTCTGTTTCTCTTTGTCTCTCTGGTGAGCACATGTGCCCTGTAGCAAAAACCTCTCCAAAAAAAAAAAAAATTTTTTTTTGATCTGGATCAGCAGTTAGCGTAATGGCTATGTCACTGAACTCCCATTTAGTCGGCCATGGTTTGAGTCCCGGACCTGGTGGCTTAAACTCACGCCAGGTGCATGTGTGTGCGTGCCCAAGATCCTGAGAGGAGAACGGAGAAGAAGGGACTGCGGCGTGGCCATCGCCCCTGGGGGTGGTGATTTCTCGCTTTCTGTCTCTCTGTCTCTCTCTGTCTTTCTGGCAAGTGCATGCGCCCTATAGCAAAAACCTCTCAAAGAAAATAAATACAAATAAAAGGTTTGATCTACTCACTCCTGTCCCTAAAAGTATTTTAAAAAGTCACAGAAACAGTATTTCATTTTCATGTTCCAAAGCATACTTCTATTTTTTACTGTTTAAAGTTCACCATATATTGAGGGTCCACTACATTAAGGTACTATAATAGATACTATTAGTTCATATATTGTTTAATTGCTGGAGTGTGTGCACTCACCAGAGACATGGAGAGTCAAAGAGAGGGGAGGGGTATGGTCATGCTGCAGTCCTTCTCCATTTCTCCAACCTGTTGGTATTTTCGGCATGCAAGTGTGCACGTGCACACACACACGCAGGCGCACCAGCTGTCAGGTATTCTAACTGTGGTTGACCATGTGGGAGTAACCCTCAGGCTACTGTTGTGGCCCATAGTTCATAGTTTTATCTTTATTCAGTTTGCACTCCTTTCATAAAAAAATTTTAGAAATCATTCTTTTAAAAAAAAGAATTATTGGGATCAGCAGTTAGTGTAATGACTATGTCGCTGGACTCCCATGTAGTCGACTGCGATTCGAGTCCCAGACCCGGAGGCTTAAAACTCACACTGGGTGCGTGTGTGTGCGTGCCCAAGATCCCGAGAAGAGAATGGAGAAGGAATTGTAGTGTGGCCATCCCCCCTGGGGGTGATTTCTCACTTTCTGTCTCTCTCTCCCTGTCTGGCGAATGCACACGCCCTATGGCAAAAACCTCTCCAACAAAACAAAACAAAACACAGAATTATTTAACTTTATTTATTTATTTTAATTTGACCACAGAGGGACAGAGTGGGGAGTGGGAGTGAGAAAGCAAGCCACCAAGTCCAGGACTTGAACTGTGGTTGGCCACGTGGGAGTCCAGTGCCCTTAACCACCATGCCACCTGCTGGCCCCCGAAATCACTCTTAAAAGTTGTTTAACTTCAGTAATTAGTGGGTTTTTTTTTGTTTGTTTGTTGTTGTTGTTGTTTTGAGAGAGGTTTTTGCTATAGGGTACACACACTTGCCAGAGAGAGAGAGAGACAGAAAGCGAGAAATCACTCCCAACCACGCCGCAACCCTCTCTCCTCCATTCTCTTCTTGCAATCTTGGGCATGCACGCACACACTCCTGGTGTGAGTTTAAGCATTTAAGCCACTGGGTCCAGGACTTGAACCATGGTCAACTACATAGTCACATACATTACGCCAACTGTTGGTCCCCAGTAATTACTTTTAATAACGATCTAGCTTTGTAATTAGTAATCTGAAAGGCCACTTCACCTCATCCATTATTTATCTGACAAGGAACAAATGCTCTGCTCTGTGAGATAAAAGGAAACTCGGTTATTCTGGTTTTTTTTTTTTTTCTTTTCTTCCTAAAAACGGCTAAAACTTTTCTCTCTGTCAAGATTGTAAGATATATCCTGGGGGCTGGCAAGTGGCATGGTGGTTACAATTAAATAAATGATTCTTTAAAATAAAATATTAAAAAAAAAATCTTGGTTCACCAGCATAGTATAGGGTAAAATTAATTTTTGTTGACTTAAGTATATAAACAGCCTATATAAACCCTAACCTTTAATGACATCTATTAAAGTCATAGAAGATGCAAGTTTATACTAGGAATCAAAGCTGAACTTTTTTTTTTTTTTTTTATAAAAAAGGTTATTTCTACTTATTATTTTAAAATTTTTTATAGGGCACGTGAGCTCACCAGAGAGTGGCCGACAGACACACACATACACAGAGTGAGTGAGCAAGCCACCAGGCGCAGGATTCAAACTGCACTGGCTATGTGGGAGTTCAGTACTTTAACCACCATGCCTGAAGGCCCAAAGCTGAACTTCTTTTAACGAAGAGAGGCAGACACCTAAGTGAAATGAATGAAGCGTCTCTCTCACATCCCTGCTGTGACAGCGCTCGCTCTGTGCAGTACAGCTGTTGACCCCTCGTTCTCCTTTCTTTCTCTTTTAAAAACCTGCTATAGCGTGAGTGTGTTAGCTGAGGAGAGGAGGGAAGGAGGGAGAGAAAAAGCGAGAAAGCATCTCCTATGGGGGATGGCCATGCCACAATCCCTACTCCTCATTCTCTCAGGATTATGGGCACACATGAACATGTGTCAGGTATGTTTTATATTTTTTAATTATAAGGTTCATGTGTTCACTAGAGAGAGAGAGAGAGAGAGAGAGAGAGGAAGAACTTTGAAATTACCCCCCTCCCCCGAGGAAATGGCCATTCTGCAATCCCCTCTCCTCCATTCTTTTAGGATTTGGGTATACATAAATGTACCCAGTGTGTTTTACAAGTTGCTGGGTCCAGGACTCAAACCATGAAGTCGGCCCTGTGTGATTCAGCGCCTTAACCACCATGCCACCTGCTGGCCCCTCCTTTTGATTTCTAACTGGTGACATAGGGTACTTGCTCAATAAAGGCTAACTCAGTCAGAATGAAAAACAAGTATCTGAGTACCTACTATACCAAGTTTCTTATTTAATTTTTTTTTTTTTTTTTACTTTTGCCAGAGGGTATGTGTATTAGACAGAGACACACAAAGAAAGAGGGAGAAAGTACCCCCACAATGAGGTGTGGTCACATTGCAATCCCTTCTCCACTTCTCCATTCTGTGGGGATTTAGGGCATGCACACACACACACATGTGGCATGGTTTTTAAGGTGCTGGGGCCAGAATTTGAGCTATGCAGTTGGCCATGTGGGATTGGCTACCTTAATCTCTACATAGGGCTGGCCCTAGGTTTTAAGCTTATTTATTTCTTCCATGAGAAAAGAGAGACAGAACCCTCCACCTTTGCAACAGGGATCCTAATGCCAGATCTACCCTGGTTTCAGTCAGCTCTGGATCATGGGTATGGGCATGTCTGGTGAAGCAGGAGACCCTGGAACATGGAAACCCCCGTGTGGTCGGCCTCCCCGAGCGTCATGTTCTACTGTTAGGCCACCACCTGGCCCCAACATGCCTGGTTTGACACCATGGATCCAGACTTTTCTGTCATTTATTCATATGGCTGTCCCCACAATTCTTTTTAGTTTTTGAATTCCTAGGTTATAAAGAAACAAGGACTCAGAAAGAATGACTCAAACAAGACTGCTCAAATTCACATGAGACTTCTGACTCTGGTCAAGGCCCCTCTATCTACTTCACCACGGCCACCTTAGAACTGTAAGGTAAGAGGATGACTTTACCTGGGGTCACTTATCTTTACTGCTGATTTGCCCATTTCTGTTTAAAATCCACTTCTCCACACCATACACGTTTAGTAAAAATGTAGGACTTTGTGAAGGGGTGCACAAAAGCTAGTTAATTCAGATACTACTGGGAAAGCTAAACCACTCTCCACAGGGTGTGTGTGGTCACCTGAGAGAGAGAGAGACGGACAGACAGACACAGATAGGGAAAGTGAGAAATCACCACCCAGAGGGGATGGCCATGCCAGTCCCTTCGACTCCTGTCTCCTGTCAGAATTTTGGACATGCACGTATAAGTGCCCGGCGTGGTTCTCAAGTCACTGGGTTCAGAACTTGAACTGTGCAGCTGGGCATGTGAGATGCAGCACCTTAACCTCCATGCCACCTGCTGGCCCCACAAGGCTCACTTTAAGAAAAATGAATCCAGTGACCTACATAGGAGTTCAGGTATTTGTGTAACCTAACGCTATGTGGCGTTCTTCCATGCTACACTTGGCCCTCTGCCTTATGATAATGTGCAACTCTTCTTAACAGGTATGGAACCCAGAAAAACCCCAGACGTTTGACCGAGATTGAAGATGAGCTGATTAGTAAGGTTAAAATTAAATTTTAGATATTCTAATCTCTACCTCTTTGTTAAGAAGATCAAAGATCTGAATAATCTTTTTTTTAATGAAAAGTTACTCTCATGCGATGCTATCTACTGTCCTGAACACACGATTCTGGTTTAGATGATGGGAGAGGTCAACCCGCCCACCACTCGTCATAAAGAGATACTGGTAGTGAAGGGCCAGTAGGATGCTCTTGGAAATCTGGGGGCAGAATGTTCTGCTCTGACTTAATTCTAACCTGAGAGCCAGAGAGCAGTGGAGTCAAGTATGCTGCTTCAGTGGGAGGGACATTTATCAGGGGTGGACAAAGATCCTCTCAGCACAATGACTATAAATCCTATTCGATGCAGAGAATGCATAATATGGTGGATACATTTAACTACTGATAAAAAAAGAATTGTTTTGAGACTGTTGACTAAAACAAACTAATACCCTGTCAACTGTGTTTTTCTTTCTCAAAAAATTCAATTTTCTCCAAGCTGATCAAAAGACTTTAAAATTAACAAAAATTATGAGAAAAACTCTTTGCTTAGAAAATTTCGGAAGCTGTGCTGGCTCTATGACCTGATGTTTACAGGATCTGGATCTTACGTGGCCGACCATGTAGTCTGAAACCTGGTCTCAACGGCTTGAACACATGCCAGGCGTGCGTGCGTGCGTGTGTGTGTGTGTGCGCACGCACACATGCGCGCACATGCCTCAAGTCCCGACAGAGTGGGGAAATGGAGGAGAAGGCGTGGTGGTGTGACTTTGCCCCACTGGGGGTTGCTTTCTCCCCTCACTCCCTTTCTCTGGCAAGTGCCTATGCCCTTTGATAACAACAAAAAAAAGACTAGAAGCTACTGAAGTGCCTGGTTCTCATTTATTACTGCACTATGCCTCTTGCTCCCCTCCTTTTCTATAGTGGTAAATATATAAATAATAATATGCTTTATAAAAAGAAGAGTTAGTGGGCCAGCAGGTGGTATGGTAGTTAAGGCACTGAACTCCCACATGGCTGACTGCAGTTCGAATCCCAGACCTGGTGGTTTGCCCTCTTACTTCCCTTCTCTCTCTCTGTATCTCTCTGGTGGGCATACATGCTCTATGCAAATTAAAATAAAGTGAAATAATTCTTTAACAATAACCAGGGAAGTGAATTACCTTAAGCCCCGCCTCAGTGAGCTCCAGGCAGTACCTGTTCCGCTCCTTTGTTTCCACGTTGATATAGGCCACATCGTCTGCGCAGCGCAGGGTCTTCGAGACAAACATAGTGTTGACCGCAAAGAGCACATCGTTTACGACTGCTTCCGCTTCTAGCCGCATGTCTTTCATATCAGTCCCTTCGAAACCATTAAGCTCTGAACCTTCTTCGAATCCTGACATACTGCTTAGCTCCATGGGATTACAGTCTGTTTCCATTCTGCAGAAAAGCAGATACAAAATTTGTTTATAAGGCATATACAGTACTGTTTATGAGCTATGCCTGATGATTGCTACTTAGTATACAACACTAACTAGTGAACAATATTTAGGGAAAATGTCTAAAACCATTTCCAGTAGCTTTTCACAGCAAAATTACAGACATGCATGGATTTTCAAAGAATCTTATCCCCTTATCTATCCTGAAAAGGTCAGCTCCCAAATTGATAGGTTTTAGAATGTTATCGTTTAGCTTCTGCAACTGATGCCTTAGCAAAAATCCTAATGCACTTATTTTTAAATGTGTAATTAATTCTCTACATTGCTGAGTCAAAGGATGTGCTCATTCAAACGTTCAATAGATGAAGGCTGGACTGGACCGATTTATACTCCACCTATAAAATGTGAGGGACTGTATTTTACATTCTTTCCAATCCTTTTTTTTTTTTTTAAGGTTTTGCTATAGGGTGTGTGCACTCTCCAGAGAGAGAAGGAAAGTGAGCAATCACCCAAAGGATCGGCCCCCAATCTTTCTAATTTCTGCCAATTTGAGATAAAGGAGGATAGTTCACGGCTGTTGGAAAAGTTATGACGTGTTTTCCTACGCAAAAATGTGTCCAGTCTTTTCCAACGACCCAATGTTTCCTTGACTAAACATCTTTTTTGACGTTTATAAACTATTCATAGTTCCAAGATCTTACAGTTGTAAAGGGCAGAAACAAATAAATCCAGGTTGGGGTCAGCAGGTGGCATGGAGGTTAAGGCGGCTGAATCCCATATAGGTGACTGTGCGGTTCAAGTCCTGAACCCAGTGGACTGAAAGCTGCGGGGCACCCCCGTGTATGTGCCCAACATCTCAGAAAAGGAAAGGGAGAAGGGGCTGTGGCACGGCTCTCCTCCCTGGGGAGTGATTGCTCACTTTCCTTCTCTTTTTCTCTCCATTGATCACATGCTCCCTATCATAACCGAACAGAAAAGTAAATAAACCCGGGGTGTCTGAAATCAAAATTCAAGTCCTTACTACCACAGTACACTCCCTCTTCGTGCCTTTTATGACTTCTAGATTTGGGATTTGCTTAAGAATGTCTTCCCTATTCCATGATTACATTTAAAAGTTCCCATTCTATCTGTATTTAACTCAATCACCTGCAATTTATTGTGTGTAGTTTCATTCTCCAAATGGGTAGCAGGCTGTCTCACAGCAATTACTAAATAACTCATCTCTCCACTCCTTATCTGTACTGGCCCAAGTACCATATTTTGAAAAATATTATTCCTTATGCTAACTTGGTTGAATATTCCTACAAGACTGCTATGCCGTCCCAGCTTTTCTTCTGTGACTGGGGTTAGAATTTTTCTCTTGGCAGTGAGTTGATGGAATGTGAAATGTACCAGTGAGAAAAGTTAATGAATGTGAAGCTGCTTTGAATGTAGAAAAGGTTTTATGGAATAAGACACTGCATTTTAAAAAAAAATGTATTGAACTTTATTATTTTCCAGTTTGATTGGAAAGAGAGAGAAAGAGGGGGGAAAAGAGAGAAAGCAAGCCACCAGGTCCAGGACTAGAACCATAGTCGGCCATGTGGGAGTCCAGAACCCTTAACCACCATGGCACCTGCTAGCCCCAGAGACTGCACTATTTACCAGGCAGGATCTAAAGGGAAGAAGTACATTTTTCAGATAAGGATGAGGTACCCATTATCCTAAATGCAGCATGCCTCTTCTTTCCTTCATATATTTAATAAATATTGGTTTCCTATCTACTTAAGTTCTGTGGTGAGGTCTATTCCCCATACCCCACCATGATGGGAGCTAGATAACATTAGTAATAAACTCAGTTTCAAAAAAGAAAAAAAAAACCCACCTTAACAACTTTGGCGTATTCTTTTTTTTTTTTTTTTTTTTTTAAAGATTTTTTTGCCATAGGGTGCGTGCACTCACTAGACAAAGGGCAAATGAAAAATCACCCCCTAGGGGGATGGCTACTTGCAATCCCTTCTCCTTCATTGTCCTCCCGGGATTTTGGACGGACACACACACACACACAAGTCTAGCATGAGTTTCAAGCTACCAGGTCCAGGATTCAAACTGCTGTCAAACACATGGGAGCCCAGTGCCCTAATCACCATGACACCTGCTGCCCCCAACTCTGACAACTGTATGAACATTTATTTATTGGTCCTTTATTAATGACTAAATGCCTACATGTAAAAGGGGGGAGGGGGAACCAACAGTTAGCATAGTGGCTATGTTGCTGGACTCCCACGTAGTCGACCGTGGTTCACGTCCTGGACCCGGTGGCTAAAAACTCACGCCGGGCGCACGTGCGTACGTGCCCAAGATCCCGACAGGAGAATGGAGGAGAAGGGATTGTGGCGTGACCATCCCCCCTGGGGGGTGATTTCTCGTTTTCTGTCTCTGTGTCTCTCTCTGTCTGGCGAGCGCACGTGCCCTACAGCAAAAAAAACCTCTCCAAAAAAAAAAAGAAAGAAAAAGAAAGAAAGGGGGGGGGGAGGGAGACAGAGACAGATCGACACCCTCCTCAGGGTCAGGTCCTACTGTGGTTCCCCACTCCAGTCAGTCCTCTAACTGGTGGAATCTGGGGCATTTACGTGTGGGCATGGCACATGTCAGGCCGAATGGGCTGAGGATTTCAATCCCAGTCTCTATGTGGGGTCTGGCTTCCCCGTGCTGCACCATGGAGCCCACCCTGAAAGTTCACTTGGACCATCTGTGTATTAAACTTTACACTGCATCTCTTTTTCTGAAGTTACTAACTTGTATTCTTTTTATTTATTTTTTTTTTAAGAGGTTTTTGCTATAGGGCGTGTGCGCTCACTGGAGAGAGACAGACAGAAAGCGAGAAATCACCCCCCCTAGGGGGGATGACCACACTGCAATCCCCTCGCCTCCATTCTCCTCTCAGGATTTTGGGCACACACACACACACACGTGCCCTATGTGTGTTTTAAGCCACCAGGTCCGGGACTCGAACTGTGGTCGACTACATGGGAATCCAGTGACATAGCCATTATGCTAACTGCTGGTCCCATGAAGCTACTAACTTGTATTCTATTCCTGCTCTATTTGAAATTCTTTAAGTCAGCGGTTTCTTAACCTTGGCTGCTCATTAGGATCACCTGGGAGAGTTAATAAACTACAGATGAATTAACCCCACCACAAATGGAAGTTAAATCTCTGGGAGGCAGGTATTTTTTCAGAGCTGTTGTGATTCTACTGTGTAGCCTCTGATCTAAATGATGAGGAAAGATCTTAAAGAGCTAGAGATCTACACCTGCATTTCATTTACACATTATAAAAGTCAAAACTATGGGACCAGCAGTTACTGTAATGGCTATGTCGCTGGACTCCCATGTAGTCAACCGCGGTTCGAGTCCCGGACCCAGTGGCTTAGACTCACGCTGGGCGCATGTGCATGCGTGCCCAAGATCCTGAGAGAAGGGACTGCAGCATGGCCATCCCACCTGGGGGGTGATTTCTCACTTTTTGTCTCTCTGTCTCTGTCTTTCTGGTGAGCGCATGCACCCTACAGCAAAAACCTCTACAAAAAAAAAAAAAAAAAGAAAAAAAGTCAAAACTATGTGCTAAAGGCAATTTATGGTAAACTATGTAAAACAATTTTGAAAAATGACACAGCAAATGTATAAATAATGTATTCCTCTAATCCAATTTCTTTCTTTTTAAAACAATTTTTGCTAGAGGGCATGTGTGCTTGTTGGAGAGAACGAGTAAGCAGGAAAGCATCCAACATGGAAAATGGTCATGCCATGGGCCCTTCACCTTCCTCCTTTTGGGATTTTGGGCATATGTGCACAAGTGCATACACACACACACGCGCGTATAAACACACACACCCAGCATGTTTCTCTGGGTCCAGGACCCAAAATGTGTAGTTAGCCATGTGGGATCCACTCGCCTTAAGCCACAGGCTATCTTTCAGCTCTTAATTGTCAGAGGTTTCATGCACTCACCAGAGATGGAGAGACAGGATAGAGAGGGGAAGGGAAGGGAGAAAGAATCCCCCAAGGGGGTTGGTCTCTCTGCAACCCTTTCTCCAACCTGTCAGGATTTTGGGCATGCAAACACATGTGGCTGGTGTTTTTCAAGCTGCCAGGGCTGGGATTAAAATCATGGTGGGCCAGATGAAATCCAGCTCCCTTAACCACTAGGTCAGCCCTCTCCAATTGTTTTTCAACTAATGATATTAATACACTTAAAGGTCCTTTATCTTGTCTCCCACAGCACTTCATAGTATTAGCCACTTGCTACTAACAATAAATGAAGGTGATTAATTACCAATTATTGCTCAAGTTTGTCAGGTAACTAAAACCTAAAATTAATTTACTAAATATGAAAATACATGGTTTTCTGAAAGTGTCTACCTTACTTTAAAAGTAATCAATACAGGGACCTGCAGATGGCATAACGGTTATGTTGCTGGCCTCCCACGTAGTTGACTGTGGTTTGCATCAGGCCCAGTCTCTTAAAACTCTCACTGGGAGCATGTGCATGTGAGCGTGTCCAAGCTCCTGAGAGGAGAACGAAAGAGAAGGGACTGCTGTGTGACCATTCCCCCAGAGGGTGATTTTTTGCTTTCTGTCTGTCTGTCTCTCTGTTCAGTGAGCACAAGTACCCTATAGCAAAGCAAAGCAAAACAAAACAAAACAAAAACTCCTCTCAAAAAAATAAAAGAATTATATTGCTTAACATTATACTTCATTTTATATATATATAAGACATGAACCCATTTCATTTTTTTTACAAAGTGTATAGATTTTGAAATATGGCTGACCACTATAAATCTCTTAATGTCGTAAGTATCAAACATCTTTGGGCAAACCAGTGGTGTGGTGGTCAAGGCAGCTGGATCCCACATGGCTGACTTCACAGTTTGAATCCCGGACCTGCAGCTTGAGAACCATGCCAGGTGCATGTGTGTGTGCGTGCCTGGGTGTGTGCCCAAATCCTGAGAGGAAAACG